GCTCCCTTCCGCCTTAGGAAGTGCTGGTTGTTATGGCAGGCCAGAGAAAGGAAGGGCACAGACACCTCCTGAATGCAGAGAGGCTTTCCTGGAGCTCCCCTGGAGAAAAGCACCCTGAGCCCTTTGTGCCAGCTCCCAGCCCCTCTGCCGGGTCCCCCCGGAGCAGCTGGAGCTGGGACCCCCTGACCTCCCCTGCAGGATTGAAAATTCCCTTCTGGGGATTTAAAGGGGCTCTGTGCTGTGCTCTGCTGCTGGAACCTTGCTGGGAGCAAGGCCCTACTCACAGATCACATCTGCTGCTGCCTTTAAAAATTCCACATTATTGGGGTTTGGGCAAAGAGCAGGAGGGTGCAGAACAGCAGGCGGGTGTGCAAACCAGCAGGCCTGCATTCCCACCAGTCCAAATTCTGGTTTTCTATCATTTTCCCCTCTGGTTTTCCATCCACATCACCCTGCCCCTGCAGCAGGAGTTGATTTCCCTTCCCCTCTCCCAGGGATCTCCAATGCCATCCGAGCTGCAATGCAGGGAATGCCCAAAGGAGAGAAAAATGGACTTGAGGAACTTCAGCCTGGCTTGTTCTGTGTGGGAGGCTCTGGGGAGCTCTGGGAGCCGCTCTCATCACCAGGGAAGGTTGGACTTACATGTGGTGCAGGGAGCACCAGCCGCAGTGCGGGTCCCCCGAGCTCAGGCACTCCTGGCAGGTCGTGTACTGCTCACAGGACTCCACGGGCACCCTGGACACCTGCAAGGGACACAACACACTCAGGGCTGCTCTGCCCACCCAGCCAGGGCAGCCCCTCAGAGCCACGGGCACAACGGCAAAGCCTGGAATGAAATGAAATGAATTCGTTCCGACATCCAAGAATAGGAATTATTGCAGACTGAGACATGAGATCACCCATCCCCTGGGTGAGGGCTGGGCACAGACAGCCCCAGCTGGGCGCCCACAGGGCTGCCAGCTCCCCTGACCCCTCTGGGCTGGAGCTGAGCCCTCTCCTCCCTGATTTACAATTTCTGCCTCACCCTTCCCCAGGGAGCTGCTGCAGGGATGAATCACTGGGATTGTGGCAGCTCGTGGGGTCTGGGTTGGTGTTTCACTGCTTTGCTGGGTCTGGGTGAGGGTTTCACTGCTTTGTGGGGTCTGGGTTGGTGTTTCACTGCTTTGTGGGGTCTGGGTTGGTGTTTCACTGCTTTGTGGGGTCTGGGTGAGGGTTTCACTGCTTTGTGGGGTCTGGGTTGGGGTTTCACTGCTTTGTGGGGTCTGGGTTGGTGTTTCACTGCTTTGTGGGGTCTGGGTTGGGGTTTCACTGCTGGGGCCACTCTGAGCCCTTCCAGCAGCAGCCACCTGGGCCCCCAGGCCTGACCCACTGTGGGTCTGATGCCACAGAGGGGAGCACAGGTGGGAACAGCCCCAGAGGCTGCTCTAAACCCCTCTCCCTCTCACAGCACACAGGAATGATGGTGATGGTGAGGTGCAGCACGGCCCTGACCTATTTACCAGCACTGAAAGCCCCAGAGGCTTCAAAACGACACCAGGCTTTAACCACAGGTCACTGCTTGGCTCCAGCGAAGATGTTTGTAACCTTTTTAACCACTTTAACCTTTCCAACACGTCCTTTGCCACCTCCAGCATTTCGAACCACTTTAACCTTTCCAACCCATTCCTTGCCACCTCCAGCAGCAGGGTGGGTTTGCATCTCGAGCTCCTGTGGTGTTCCCTGTACAAAATATGGAAAAATCCCTTCCTGTAAGGTTGGGGGTCACTGGAACAGATTGCTCATGAAGAAATCCCTTTCTATTCCTTCCTTTAAGAAGAAATTCCTTCCTGTAAGGTTGGGGGGCACTGAACAGGTTACTCAAAGAGAAATCCCTTCCTGTAAATTTGGGGGGCACTGGAACAGCTTGTTCAAGGAGAAATCCTTTCCTGTAAGGTTGGGGGGCACTGGAACAGATTGCTTAAGGAGAAATTCCTTCCTATTCCTTCCTTCAAGAAGAAATCCCTTCCTGTAAATTTGGGGGGCACTGGAACAGGTTACTCAAGGAGAAATCCCTTCCTATAAGGTTGAGAGGCACTGAAACAGGCTGCTCAAGAATAAATTCCTTCCTGTAAGGTTGGGGGGCACTGGAACAGGTTGCTCAAGAAGAAATTCCGTCCTATTCCTTCCTTCAAGAAGAAATCCCTTCCTGTAAATTTGGGGGGCACTGACCAGGTTGCTCAAGAGCCTGTGGACTCCCTGCCCCTGGAGGTGTTCAAATGCAGGCAGGACAGACCTTGGCACAGCCTGGGACAGCGGGAGCTGCCCCGATGATTTCTGAGCTCCCTTCCAGCCCAGGCCATCCCGCGATCCTGCCATTCTACTCCCATTTCCCCAGCAAACGCCGCAGATAATCCTCCCCCAGCCTCGCACAGCTCCTGGGCCCCAGGAGCGATGCCTGCAACTGGCTGGGAATTCAAACAAGCGCTGGATGGCTGTGGCTCTGTCCGTCACAACAGCACCCGGCTCCCAGCAGCCGCGCTGAAAGGAGCAGTGTCTGCCCGCACAACGGCCACTGTCACGCCAAGTGCTGTTGACACAGTGAGAACCCAGTTCCTCTCTGAGCTGGACACCAATAGGGCTGCTATTCTTCTTGTTTCCTCAGCCCCACTCAACAGCTTTTCCCGAAATAGAGATTGCTGGGGTTGGAGTTTTCTGGCTGGGGTGGAGCCCGTGGGGAGGGTGGAGGGCTTGGGTTGGGACCCTGGGAGTGAGGGGTGGGAAGGGCAGAGCTGGGAGTGCCTGCAGCCCCTGATGGGTGGGAACAGCTTCAGGAGCAGAGAGGAGAAATTCCGAGGTGGAAATGAGGGGCTGGGTTTGAGCCCTGGCTGCAGAGGGGCCTGGGGTGCCCTCGCAGGGTCTGCACAGGGGATGTGCTGTTTGCTGCTCTGCCTCTGCCTTGTAAGGGGCAAAAAGCGCTTTGCAGATAGGGTGGGAGCAAGCCCAGGGGCCTGGTGACAGAACAGCCCCCCAGCACGGCCCATCCAGGTACAGACACTGCCCAGCACCTCCCAGTGCAAACCAGTGCTGCAGCACCGTGCTGCCCCTGGGTGGAGAGCCAGCAGCAAATCCAGCTTTTGGTGTTTTCAGAGCAAAATCTCCCTGTGGGAGACACCAGCTGGCACAGGATGCACCCAGGAAGGTCCCTGGGCTGCCCCTAAAACCAGCCCAGCACGCTGAGCCCTGAGCCAGCCCCAAAATCCCCCAGCACAGCAGATCCCACGCTCACACCCACAAAGGCAGGCTTGGCAGGATCTGTCCCCGTGATTTAAATGCAGCTCAGGGCTTGTTTCATGTTTGTGAGGAGCTGGATGCTCTCGCTGCGCTCTATAAATAACGGAGGGCTGGAATTATGTGAATAAGAGTTCATTAGAGATGATTTGATGTTGAGCGCTTCGTTTCTTTTTCTGCTCGGAAGCTGCACATGATAATTCTTTAAAAACCACGCAGAGGGTTTGAACAATGTCTCTGGGGGAGCATCTGTGTGAAGGACAGCAGCCAAGAATCCAGCACTGCTGGGGGATCTCCTCAGTGCTGAGGGCACAGCCCTGCTCCCCCCAGCCCAACCGTGACCTCTCCTCCTGCTCTCCCTGCCAAAATGCACCTGCTGCTCAACCATTAATTGATAAAGCCTCATTATTACTGTCCCTGACTGCCTGACCCATAACACCAGCAAAATAAAATAAATTACAAAAAGAAAAAAATCAATACAGATTCTCCAAAACACACAGATTCCAACTCTGCCAGCCCCCGGAGCAAATAAGTGCAAGAAACCAGTTCCAAATAAATAAATAAAATAAATAAATTAATTAAATAAACTGCCAAAGCAAAGTTTCCACAGCTTTTGCGTGCTACCAGCCTGGTGCTGTGACCTCCCCTGGCTGGAGACAGCCCCTGGAGCATCTCTCAGCCACAGCCGGCTGCCCACAGACCCCTCGGGGGGCTGGAGTTCAAACAGAAAATCTATTTTTAATGACTTTGGGGAGTGGAGTAGAGATGCCAACTAGTTCAGTGTAATTAAAGCCATCTATCACTCACTGAGCAGGAGCCCAAAGTTGATGAACTTTCCAATGAGATTTGATTCTTTCCTTTATTCATGAGAAAACTCCGCTTTGTGCCGGGGCAGGAGATGTGAAAAAGTGTGGGAAGGAGCAAGGAGGACGCCTCAGCTGAGCCATTAATGTGTCAGGGTGACAGGGAAAATAAAGTCAGACTTTCCCAGAGGCTGTAAAAAGTCTGGCAGGCTCTTCCCACTGCTCCTCTTCCTCCTGTGCCTCCAAGCAGAGCTGCAGGTGGAATGTCCTGCTGGGCACCTTTGCCAGGAAAATTCCCTGTGTGGAGGGGTGGGAATGCTGTGGCTCTGCTGAGCAGGACATGTGGGTGCAACCTGCCTTGGGCTGTGGAAATCCCTACCTGGAAACTGCTGCTCCTGCCTGGTGGAGACCTCAGGGAGTGTGGAAGGACCAGGAGTGAGTGGGATGCAGGAAATGCATCCACGGGGCAGAGCCAGGACACAGAGGAGAGGGGAAAGGGGGAGTTTAACCACAAACAACAGAGGAGCATCCCCAGGGTGGAGCTCCCAAGGTGGGGATGGCTCCAGCATCCATCCCAGTGCCACAGGAGCAGTGCTGTGGCAGGGGCAGGGCTCCTGCAGGAGCGGCTCTGCTGTCCCACAGCCCACTCTGAGGGGCTCCCAGAGCCCCCCCGGGCTGTCAGAACCAAATCAAGGCCGGGAAGTTCTGGCAGAGAAGCAGCGAGTGGGAGAGGACGGGGAGACAACGTTGCCATGGCTACGAGGGGATTATTTAATTACAGCACTGCAGATGCACGCAGAGAGCCCCTTCAACTCTGATCCAGGCAACCTCTGCTTGGGCTTGGCTTTGCTGCTCTAAGAACCTCATTAACGTCTGAGGGGGACAAGCTGTGCTGGAGCACGGGCACTGGATCACTCTGGGTGAGGGATGAGATCTCCGGCACACATTCCCATCGCCTTGGCTCCCCCAAACCCTCCGTGCAGCGTGCCAGGCTCCAGGGGAGGTGATGAAAGCAAGGACAGCCTCCTCTGGGAAGCCAGAAAGGCTGAAAAAACAGCAAATATCCCGAGGTGAGGCTTGCTGGAGCAGGAAAATTGTCCTCAAGCCAGAGTTTGCTGCATCCATCCGGCCCAGCATCCCGGCAGGGCTCGGAGCAGCCTCGTGTTCTGGCACACAGGCTCCTGCACACAAACACTTCCCTGTGGTTTACCACGGCTCCAGTTAATCATCACATCAATATGGAACATCTGAGCGGGGTTTGTTGGAATAACAAAGTGCCAGGCAGAGATCCCAGCTCCCGGGAGCAGCTCAGCCCCGGCCAGGAGGGGAAATGGGATTTCATCTCGGGCTGCTGCCTCTGGCAGCTCCTCCTCTGCCCCAGCAGGTGACAGTGACACTCTGGGACAGCAGGGTGGGCACAGGGGCAGGTGCCCCTGGCTGGCACAGACCCCGGGTGTCCCATCCCTCACCCTGCCTGGGCTCCCAGCTGTGGGTGCAGGCTCAGCCCAGCATTTGGGATGTCCCTCTGGCATCCAGCCCTGTCACAGACATCTTCTATGGAAAATCCTTTCCTTAGGATTCTTCCTCCTGAGAAGCTGAGAGGCCTCAGGAACAAAATGTAAACAATGGCTATCTGCTGCTCTGGAGTGCAACAGGTGCATCTGGGATTGGGC